GGACTCGATGCCGCCGGCAACCTGGTCGGTATTGCTGCTGATGGCACCACTATCGCCGAGGCTGCCAACTCCAAACGCTCTCCCAAGGGTCATGGCTCTAGCCACGGTGGCTCTTCTTCGGGCGACAAGGCCATGAAAGGACTCGATGCCGCCGGCAACGTGATTGGTATTGCTGCTGATGGCACCACTATCGTGGATGCTGCCAGCCAGTAGTGACTCAATTGTTTTGGCGTCTTCAGGATTGATTCTCTTACGCATTAGACGGACAGAGCGGGCAATTACGGCGTTGGTTTAAAAACAGTTATGTTTTTACTTTGCTTTCTTGGTTTTGGTCTGTTCTCCTTTTTTTCTGAGTATATTTTGCAAGCGAGTGATGTTTACGAGTCTATGGAGGCAAGGCGTTGGGATGATCTGAATGCTTGTTCTGTTTTGTTTTATCTGTCTGCTTTGGTTTGTCTTTGTCTTATCCTATCCTCATTGCTCCTGTTGTCTAGATGGCTTCCGAGCAGTTGAATATACCCTATCGAAACCGAACCCTTGGTCTTTTCGTAATGTAGATGTTCGAACACATATGGCTCCAAATCGATACAAAGTAGTTTTTCCTTCACATTTAAATCACCATCTCTTCTCATTCTTCTTTCTCTCTTCTTTTATTTTACTTATCACCATCGTTATTTTTTACAGCTTTCTTCCGTTCTCCTTTGGCGATTGAGTCCATGAGGCGTCACCACGTGAGTACAGGAAGCTCAAGAAAACGGATAAATCCAATAGTGCGAAAAAAAGTGCAATATACGCCAGATCGACAGTCTGCTATAACGTCCAGCGTTTCGTGTTTCGAGCCGAATCCCGCCGTATTCGGAAGGGCGCTTGGACGGACGGACCTGAAGACAGTCTTTGCTTGTGGTGTTCGCGTGTGGTTCCACGCCGCGCTGCACTAGGAAGGCTACGGAGTACGTCCGAGCATGTATGCAAATGCACCTACAATATCGCCGGGCCTTGAATTGACTGCCGTCGTCCGTATACATGGCAAACGGCAGCTCCAGGGCTTCCCCGGAGATACAAGACCCGACATAGTACTCTGCAAAGAGAGAAGACCTCATCTAGTCGCGAGTAGATTCAACCAAGTCGGATAAAGGGGCTGTGCGATAATGAGGGGCCAAACTTTGCTATACTTGGCAGCTCCGTATCGACAGGGCGCAGAGATTTAAGTGCTGACATGCATGTGCCAAGGGGGCAGTTTTATCTAGGGATTAAGGTTGTGACTGGAAAGATATTCTAAGGTATCTCGCTACGAACGGACTCCGTTTTATAGCATCGGACAGGATTACGAGGACATTCCAAGTCGGATTTGTGCTCGGTCTACATAGTCAGATAATGTTTGGGAGTGAAATTTGAGTAAAATGCATTCGTCCATTCGCATGATGCATCGAATTATCGGTATCAGTATATACAACAGAACATCTATCATGCAAAAACAGATCATCCCAGAATTGACCAAAAGAAAAACCCGCTAAGAAAAACCAAACACCGCTACCCAATTGACTGATCTATAGCGTTCCGACAGCCATGCTGAAGACCATCATGGCCGCCAGCCCGATGGCCGTCTTGGACATCATGTTGGTCGAGACAGGAATGGCAGCCGAGGTGTCGTCGTTGGACTCTTGGCTGCTGTTGTAGGCGGCGACCTTGGTCACGCCGGCGTCCTTGATGCACGCGAGGACCTCGGTCTGGTTGGTTGGGGTGTCGCAGTACTTGAAGCAGTTCTTGTTGTAGATGACGAGGTCGTTGTTGGCACCGCAGCACTTCTGGTAGCTGACGGTTTTTGAGTGGTCGTTGGTGAAGGCAACGACTTGGGAGACATTGTGGATGCCCATAGGAGGGACGCGGACGGTGGCAGAGCACTTGTCGGTCTTGTGCTTGGTCATTGTGATGGTTGTGTTTGGCTTGAAGGAGGATAGAAGATAGAGAAGTGGAATTGAAGATTTTGTGTTATTGGAGGATCTCAGAGGCTTTGAGGGAATTGGAAGATGGATTGCGATTGATCTGAAAGAAAAAAACACAGGACGAGGGCGTCTTTTAAGCGCACTCGGGCAGCGATGCGGCTCCCATACGGCGTAGTTGGAGGGACCAGCAAACGCGCCGGGGGCTCCACCGGGGACTGCGCCGCGGGGGCCAAATTAGGGCCTGCGACTATTGATTGGACTGGAGGGATCGCATACCCTGCGGATCGGCGTGTCAGGGAGCCTCGTGTTTCCTATTTGGGTTTAAGCTGGCCCCAAGGCGGATTCAGTGTTCGACCTGAGTTTTTTTCCTTTCACCGTCTGGCGGCACCGCCATTTGAGAGGACGAAGAGGATTCGATACAATATTAGCATCAGGGGCCGCCGCTGATCAATGTGATTCAACAAAAGCAAGAATGACAAAAGCCGAAACACGACATGACTTGGCCGCTTAAGCTCAATCTAACTACTACCAGCCACTAAGCTTGATAGGGCGTCGGAAGCGAGATCGTCGCAGCCTTGTCGCTAAGGCAGACTTGTACATTCTGATTCACCCGAGCATCTTCCGATTGTGATCAACGCCCAACGCATTCAGTCACAAACTAGTCTACAGCACACGGCGATCTCAATTCAAAAATTGCACAGTACTTTGCATTCCGCAATGCCTTGGATATGTATAGGCACAGCCGCAAGGAAAATATGCGCCCCCAACATTATATGTCCACAGCCTCACCGTCCGGCCATCGTTTGCACTGCCAACACGGCAAATCATGTTCCTGCCCATTCGCATTGTAATTCTTCCTCCGATGACCGGGCATGTCGCGCAGGACCTCAACACGCATCGTTTTCTCCTGGCAGTACGCCACGTACCGGTAACCGTTGGGATACCCTTGCAATTTTTCTCATCTAATTCCGAGACCCTGCCCGGACTTACCGGCAGAAGTTTATCCTTTTCGTACCAATGGCGCAGGAACCGGGCGCTTCATTCCGTGTCCGCAATGTTCTCTCCCCGAAAGAAGCAGAACCGACAGTCCGCTTCCACGTCGGCCTCGCATCCATCAATCACCAATCACTGTGTAATGGTCGCTCTCATTTCGGTCACCGCCCGGACGGCATCTGGGGGATATTAGTCGTCGAAATGTGGACCCGGTGCATTATGGAAGCGCCGTTATCCATGCCTCGTTGTGAAGCGGCGATAAAGTCCAGGTAGAATGTGCGGCCCGTCCAGGTGGTGTGGATGTATGCATCGGGATGGAAAATCGATTTCAGGTTTTCATTCGCAGGCGTCGCTGCTCTATTAGCAACTGAAAATATCCGGTGCATACTGACATACCGATAAGCAGGCTATCCTTCTGCTAATTCGCGTAGTTAATACCGCTCCAACGCCAAGTCGTTCGGTCCATTGTTGCAAATCGCATTCTCCGGTCTAGAACCAGCGGGAAGACTATGCAAATTGGCCATGGTGAATACTGGTTTTGCAGATATCCATACAGAGACGCTGCATACTCGTACTTTCTAACATGGATGTAGACCTGCTATTGAATTGGAGCTGCTTCCGCGGAAGGATCCGCGGAGTCTGATGATTAGAAATACAACAAATACTGCATCGGATATAGTATTAACCAACTAACTATGGTTTCGACATATCGCATGGTCTATGGTCCTGTGCGCATCGCTATTTCCCCATGAATTACCCTCCGAGTCTCGATCGCCGCACTTGAGGCTACCTCACTCCGTCCAAAGAATCTGTTGAGCGATATTCTGTAGATATACTTCTCGAACCCCCGTGCTGTTCGTGTTGGCCCCGGTGTATCTCCGGCCGGAATCGTTCAACCGGATGAAGACGGTGTTGAGGGCCCCGATAGCAGTTCCCTCAGTGATTTCGTCGAACGAACGGGGTGAAGGTCACTTTATGGGGCATGGTCACTGCCGCGCCGATGCAGGTAATAAGAAAAATGGCTCAATAGCTTTTGTCTTTCATCGACTCGCGAATGTGATATGTCCTAGTAGCTTTTGTGCGGAAAAAGCAGTGTCGTGAAGGATAGGAGCTAGCGAATGCGTAATAAAATAGCGTAGGAGGTAAACGTTTAAGGTGCGATCCGGTGTTTTTGCCGATTTCCTGTAGCAAATGAAGTCTTTCAAGATAAGAGATAAACCAGGGCGTTAATTTCTCATCTGACCGCGAACTGGATAGGAGCGTACTGATTGAACGGTGTGTTTTAGTCGGAATCCATTTCTATCGCGATTTGAATCCAGGCCAGCACGGCTAAATATACCACTGAGGATCGAGTACGATACCAGACGCATCTAAACGGTGATCTATCAAATAATTTGGAAAGACAGCTTTGCCACTCAAGCACAGCACAATGTTAAAAAATGGACAATCAATGAGAATTTGCATACCTCGTCGGAATCGGAGTCGCACTCGATTGCACCTCCCATGCACAAGTCCATCGCCCGGTCATTGGGTTACAACTGGCGCTTTCTTGCAAAAGAATGTCCGATCGTTGAAGATGTCATTGGGTTGTTCCGGAAGCCCAACTCCACTGGCGGCGTGGCCACCATGCCTTACAAGACCGCGATCATGGCTCATCTGGACGGCCTCGATGATTACAGTGTCAAGGTCTGCGCGTGCAACAACGTCTACCGAGTGACGGATGGTTCTATTCGCAGGCTGAACAATGATTGGCGTGGAATCAAATCCTGTCCGACTTTTGCTTCCGAGGAAAGCAAGGGCAGACGGCCCTGATTATTGGCGTGGGAAGGGCGCGCAGAGCCGCAGTTTATGCTCTGTATGAAGAGCTTGGATTTACGTCAGTCTATGTGGCCAATCGCGACGAGGATGAAGTGAGAGCTCTCCGGGAAAATACAAAGCCATACGGAAGCAGTCCTCAGATCACCCATATTCGATCAGTGAAAGAGGCTACGAATTTGACTGAGATGCCATACCACACCGTTCGCACCGTGCTGGACTTCGAACCGCAGACAAGCGCGGAACTTGAAGCGCGCGATATTCTCGTTACCATCCTGCCGTCATCGCGTGAGAAGGGTGTGCTATTGGACATGTGCCTCAAGTCGCGGAGGACTTGGACTTTGAGCTGGGAAAGAAATAGGGATGGATGACAGTCGAAGACACTGGAGTCATTGCGCATCAGATTGATGAGCAATATCGGTCATGGTGTGGTGACGAGGATAATAAGCAAATCTTTAGGCAGGAAGCTTGCGAATTATTGCAAACGGCTGCAGAGAAGAGTCCGCAATATATTTTTGATTGCAGGAGTCGTTAGATATGAGATCCTGGTAGGTCAATCATGAATGGTCTTTGGATAAGTATTTGCCCGCAGAATATCCAGCATCCTCCCTGCCCTGGAAGACAGCTTTCTCACTTCCAAACTAACCAATTTTAGATTCCTCCCAAGCAATATACTCCATATCTCTGGATTGCGCCTGGGTCCACGCATTCCCGAGAAGCTGGTGAGAGTATCAGAAACCGGGTTTCAAGGTGCTGAAATCTTCTACGAGAACTTAGAATCCGCCATGAAGAGCCACGAAGAAGCAAGCCCATGGAATCTCCTGATCACAGCTGGCGAAGTGGAAAATCTATGCAACGCATATGGTCTCATAATTATCAGATTGCAACCGTTTCTGTTTTACAAGGATCTTACAGACCCAAAAAAATCACGCGAGAAAAATTGAGAAGCTCAAATTGTGGTTCCAAATTGTGAAGACGCTCGGGACTTATATCATTCAAATGATAACGAATTTTCTGACCGAGAATGTCACCGGCGACATGGTCCTCATCGTGCAGGATATGGTCGAGGCCGCCGACCTTGGCCTCGGAAGAATTGGCACTTTCGATTCGTAGACGGATATCTTGTTTGAGGTATATATATTGGTACTTGAGATCGGGTGTGAAGGGTCGTCAGGCGAGTGGATAGACTGAACTTTGGAAGCTGCCTTGATGCGCTTAACATCACCGGGAGGGTTTGGACCGATCCTGCGAGTATCACGGGAACGACGCCAAACTCTGCGAGTGATCTGAAGGAGTCAATCGAGTGTCTGGTTCGAACGGTCTATGTGCACAGAGTCTTCTGTATCCAGGTGGCGGACGCTGAACGGATGCAGTTATTACTGACCCAAGGCCATCCGTTCCACGTGGAGGAACAACCAGCACGCATATCCTGGAGCCGAAATGCGCGACTTTCCTATACGGGCAGGAAAGGGGCGGATATCTTCCTGTCGTAGATATAGCTCGCGCAGTTTTGAAGGATCTCGGGTACAATGGATGAGTGTCGATGGAGCTGTCGCGGACCATGTCGAATCCCAATCAAACGGCGCCTTTTACCCACGCACAGCGAGGGATGGCTGCTTGGAATACACTTCTGGGGAAGCTGAGCTTGTAAGGATCGAGCCTTCATGGCAAAGGACTCGAGGGGTTTTTAGTGAGTTAAAAAGTTAGCAAAGTGAAGTCAAAGTCGCTGGATAGAAATCCCGAGTTCTGCGAATGCAGCTGTGTCCTCATTCTATAAAATATAATGAGCCTATGCCAATATATAGTGTACCAGTATATCTACTTTCTAGTTTGGTAAATGTCAACATGTCGAATAAAATGTCAAATTCGTTAATCTCATTGGGAGGATAATCCATCTACGAAAGTGACGGCATTGCTCTAACAGACCGGGATTGCGAGACTTGCAGGCCGGAATGTGCAGGATGTGACAAGTTCGCAACATCGATCGAAGGTTCGTTTTGTACCACCACAACGGGGCTAGACTGGGCTATCAACTGCGAAGGAAGCACCGCTGACCGGTCAAACTGACCTAAGTCCATCTACTGAGTTGTGTATGCTTTCTATTTCCCTGGTGATTATTCATAATTTGCAGTATTTCACCTATTCATACCCGGACTGGCAGGTCATTGCCGTCCGCCACTGACTGGAATTCATGTAGACAACATTCGGCCTGCATTGTAGAATCGGCAGAAGGAAGAAGACCCTGAGACCCAGGCCATTTGAGATACTACAATTATATTGAGAGAGTCGAATCGGCAGTTCCTTCCACCAGTGGTATCCATTCAGGTTCGATTGCGTGAGCCCGATGAAACGAAGTCAATAAAACAAAGTCCTACGTAAGATGGAGCGTTAACATTGACGGAATGAGTGTGCTATCATTGATTTGATGCTGTATTTTTCAGACTCGAATGCCAAGTTTGCAGATCACGAGCTACACCATCTGGAGAAGAGACTCCTGCATCATCCAATACGTTGCTCAGTTTTTCATCAGCCGTGTAATCTGATTGAAAGTACTGAGCACTCGCAATGGCCATCGACCAGAGCGGAAGTAGCTTCTCGGAAATTGACCGACGAAAGAGCAACGCCTGCCTGTTTGCAACTTCCCGGACTCGCCAGAACGAAAGGCTGGCTCCTGTTGGGTGTGCACCTGTTTTTCTTCGAGCAGTGGGGGCTTGTTCCCATGGGAAAATCCAGCCTGGCCAGAGTCATCATCGTTGGAAGCCAACAACAGATCCAAGTCTTTTACCAGCTCTAATTCGCGTTATTCGTCCGCGGTGCGGTTTAGGAACTTGCCGTCAACAAAACTGGCTTCCGCGTAGCCACTGCGGAACATATCACCCCCTGAACATGCCTAATTAATAACCCCGAGAGGATTTCTAGCCCTCTAACGTAGACCGACTGCAGCCCGCTTTTCTTCACATTTCCGTATGTACATGGCTTTGGTTCGCCTTTTGGGATATGAATACAGTCGACAGCCTGCATCGGAACCAAGCCCGTAGAGTCAGCCCCGACCAATGCCATCTATATAAATATCAACTGTCTGCTTATAAACGTGATACCATTACATATCCGTAGTCCAATTGTAGCAAGCGAGCGAATTCTATTTCTCATTCATCTGTTTGACGAGAAGTTCTAATATTCGAATATGCACTCCCACATCTTCGGACAGGGCATATCGCAAAGCTTCTTCCCAGTCATGCAACGCAGCATCTGCAGCCCTCAGACTACGATATCCGCGATTGCACAAGCCTCAGTGGCGTGGAACACCTTATCAACGACAACGACTTCGGAGGCGCTAGCGTGACTATGCCGCAGAGACTCAGCGTCGACGACTATTGGTATCAAATGCGGCTATGGAATTAGGCGCCATATACACATTTTTGGCGCACGGAACCATATCGGAGTACGAACGATTTACGGCGATAACACCGACTGGACTGGTGTGTACTCCACTGCCGTTAGATACCTGTCGCTTGGATCCCTCGCGGACACCCGTCGGACTCGTTGGCGCTGGTGGAGCAGCAAGAACAGTTGTCTACGCTTTGGCCCAGGCAGAGGTTAAGCAAATCTATGTTTGGAACCGAACGGTTGACAAGGCGCGTAAAATTGCTATCGACCTTCGGGATGCATGCAGTGTCATGGCTACGGCTCACCAATCGGATATTACGGAGGGGCCCGATATTATCATCGGCACTATTCCCGGCGAGGTGCTGCCGCGATCAGCGTTCGTTGAACCCTTTTCGAGAGTCAAGCGGACTGCAATGAGATGTCGTACAAGCCGCCGATTATGAGTTTGCTTTCAGTCGCCAGGGCGGCGAATGGGCTACGGCCGATAGTCTGGAGGTACCCATGCGACAAGCGTTCGGAAAATCTGAGCTCTGAACGGATAGGGATGGACCGCAGGATGTTATGAGAGCTGCAGCCAAAGTTACGATTGGAAGTTAGATGCGCGTATTGAGCTACGAAGTTGAAGCCGAGGACCGGTCACCAGCCATACCGGTGCGTGATAGAAGATGAAGTAACAATGACATTCTTGTACGTACAAATTATGGTAGCAAAGTAGACAATTATGCGAGAACCGAGACACTAATTTACATCTATCAGTGGCACCCCGCCGCGAGCCAATTATTCCCGTCCTCAAATTAAACTTCAAACAGCCCGGCTGTACATGGCCATTGTGAGTTGGTATAGGAGACATCTATTCATTGATCTGCCTCTCCTGGCTGTCACCGCTGCTAATGGCGATCTCCGCCTTCTCAGCCCCATACGTGACTCTTGCATCCGGTAAACTCAAGCCCAGGTCACCCGACATCTGAGCAATCTCGTCGGAATTGAGCTTGGGCAACTCATTAGCGACCTGGTAGGGCCACTTGCCCTCGATATGGGCCTTGGCGAAAATAATGTCAACCTCTTCCAGATCACGGCCGGCGGTTTCAGCGTAGAAGAACCAGGCGAAGGGCACAGCGCAAAAGTTGACGAGTGCGAAGAAAAGGTAGATGCCCCAGCCACTGGCGTCGGAGAAAACGGGGGTGAACATGACGACGGCAAAGTTGCAGATCCAGTTGGTGCAAGTTGAGGCCGCAGCCGCCATGGTACGGGTGCGGAGAGGGTTGATCTCCGGTGGGTAGATCCAGGGCAGCGGCAGAGTCGTGAAGGCGAAGAAGCAGATGAAAAGGAAGATACCGACGATGGCACCCTTGGAGTTCTCCACAGTGGGGTCAATGAGGCAGGCCATGGTGATGATGAAACTGAGACCCTGGCCAAGGAAGCCGATCAAGAATAGGTTGCGGCGGCCAACCTTCTCAATCATGAAAAAGGAGGGAATGGTAGCGAGGGCATAGACCGTGGCAAAGACACCACCCAAAACCAAGGAGAGACGGTGTGACATGTTCAGGTTCTGCTCAAAGAGCAGCGTGGAGTAGTAGATGGCGGCGTTGCAGCCGGTGAATTGCTGGAAAAACTGACCGGAGCAGCCGATCATCATGCGCTGGAATTCCTGGGTCTTGCCAAAGGTGAACAGCGTCTTCCAGCTGGCCTTGGTGTCCTGGGTCGATCTGAGGTCGGCCTTCATGAGGTTGAAATCGTTGAGCACGCTCTCGGAGTCGGGTTCAGCATCGTTGAGTTGGGCCAGGACGTGGCGTGCTTCCTCGTCACGCCCCCTCATGACAAACCAGCGAGGGGACTCGGGCAGCATCAGAGCGCCCACGGTCACCAGGATAGCGAAGATGATCTGGAACGCGACAGGGAAGCGCCACTGGACCGAAGTGTCAACGTACGAAAGACCAAAGTCGACCCAATAGGCGACGAAAGTGCCGACGGCGATAATGGCACCCTCAAAACAGACAAGGAACCCTCGATTGTGAGCGCGAGAGCATTCTGACTGCCAAACCGGAATTGTCGCCGTATCCATGCCGTTTCCAAGGCCTGAAATCACACGGCCGACGACAAACTGGCCCAAGCCCCACTGAGGGCCGAAAGCAGCGGTGGAGATGACGGCACCGACGACCATGATGATGCCTCCAGCGACCAGCAACGGGGTTCGACCGATCTTCTCACCGTACATGAGGGTGAAAATGGCGCCGAAGAAACAACCGAGTTCGTAACAGGCCGTCACCGCACCACGAAGGACCGAGACGTGCTGAGAGTAAGAGGCGGAGTAGTCGGGAGAGTCCTCTGGGGGGATGTAGAGAGGGGGGAACTCCTGGGTAAACTGGTCGCCGGAAATGATACCGGACATCAAACCCTGATCATAGCCGAAGAGCGAGAACCCCAGAACAGAGGTGATGGTGATGGCAATATGGAGCTTCCTGCCCCGCAAACCACAGGTTGTTGTCCACATCTTGTTGTAGGTGAAGGTGGAAGACGAGACACGCACCAAGGCAATGACAGCGAGAGCAAGCCCGAAGCCAGGCTTCCGGGGGACATGGGCACTTTTGTATGCCCCGGGAGTTAATGCCAGTCTTACGGTTTGATTAATCAAAGAGGGACAAGGTTCCAGGGGACAATGGGTGCCGGTATTGGGCATGTCTCGCGAGCCGTCGAGAGAGCCAAGGGTCCAATGGGACCTCAGGAAAACGCTTAGCGGCAGGATGGCATCCCCGCCGCCGACGTAAAATTGCTCCATTCGAAAACATAGCGTGGGGGCCAAGGCTGGGAGTCAAGGCCATTTGGAGTGAATAAGAGTAAGATTGCCGGATCGGGATGATGCGGAGGAAGGGAAATTGATGGGAGTTCCGGGGTCTCCAGGTTAGGAAAACAAAGGATCCTTGTATACACTGCCAATCTGACTGGGTGGACCAAAACTAGGAAGTTAGCCGAGTATGACCCCTTTGTCTGGCTCTCTATGGAGGGTCGGATCCAACCCGCGGGTGGTGCCTGTTCGCTTGAAAGAAACAAAGACCGGATCTGGTATGGTAACGATACGCGAGATTGGCTCAGTGACAGATGCATTCGTTCCATATCTTTCGTAGGGCCATTTACTCCATGGAGTGTTCTGTTTATATAGGATCCATTATGATGCCTTGGCGATGCTTGGTCTTGACAAGCATTCTTAGCACTCTTAGCATTCTGGGCATCCCAAGATCGCGTCGCCCCCAGAATCACCTTGGCGAGTGTACCGTACCGTACCGTATGTACCGTACGTCCAATACGTACCGCAGCACAGACGAAGAGTCGGAAAGTATCATGCGGCTTGTCCAGAAACGGTAATTTCATTACGTACTGCATGACAGCTGGATCCACCGTGTAATATTCCCAGTGCGGGGATGCGGGGTCGGAGTGCTCCGAACTACTCCGGAGTAGACTCTCCGACAGTACTCCGATGCTATGCTGGGACATCCCCGGAATCGCTCTTGGACTCCGGTTACGCTATAATGAATCAGACCACATGGGAGTCAACTATGCATGCAGGAACTCGGTTAAAATGTCCGTCAACCTACGGGTAGTGCGATAACGACATCCATGCTGGGCTGGGGAGTCACAATGTACGGTCTCATTCCGCCGGAAATCCTGCATAGATCCTTCTCCGGGATAGACGGTACGAGGAAACGCTCGGAAATTCTGGCCGGGGCCGTGCCCTGGTTGAACTCTACTGCATAGTGGGAAGCCCGAAACACGGGGATACATGTTGAGACGACTTATCCAATAAACTGTGACATCGCATGTTGGTCCAGCAAAACTGGCAGAGTGCATGAGAGTGACACGCGGGCTTACGCGATGGATGTTTTCATCAATCTAATTCGTACCACGTTGTTTACGTGGATGGACCTGGGTGTGATGGTTGGGCTTAGAAAAGAACCCTACGCTCGTGTTTTCTGATGCTCGTCCGGTGACTCTATATCGAAGAGTATGGGCCTCAACCATGAGACAGTTTCGCCGATTCTGCCCCACCTCCAAGGTCGCCTCAATGTAATTAGCCAGCCGTGACCAAATACGTACCGGGTTACTGGTTCTGCTATAGTACCTTACCCTTGGCGCCGCCAGGCCCAAGGTAAAAAGTGCACATAGCATAGTAGCCTCGAATTTGGTGCTTTATCTAGTGGACATCTCCGCAGTCTCAGCGCGGCCCCTGATACAGTAGCCCTTTCAGAGTGACGGTAAGTTCCTTTTCTTGCTGTGCAATCGCAATTCGAATACAGCGTTAATCTACTGGCAGGGTGTACATGACACCAGAAGCCGGACCAATTATAAAGAAGCTAGGCATGCGAGCAATGAGCGGGCCGCGTCAATGTTGCTGTCAGCTTACGGCAGCTGAACAGAAAAGTCATACAAGTCTTAGCACAACTTGAAGCCCGTGGTGTAAACCGATTTCACCGCCCGAGTTTTAATCCTCTGCCATGGCCACCGAGAAAACCGAGAAGACTATCGATATGTTCAGGGTACGCTAAGGCTCTAGGCCTGCCCGAAGCTGTGTAAACTGAATAATTGTCAGATGAACGCCTCATAGAACTCAAAGAATCAGCACTGAAAAGCTTAGGGGTGTTTGCAAAAGCCGACATACCTTGTGGCTCCCGTGTCATTGTAGAAACGGCTCTACTTGAAGTCAAGGGCGGAAACGCGAGACATCGTGCGAGCATTTGAAAGCCTCCCGCCATCGCGTCAAAGTCTATACCTAGAGCTCCATGGATATGCCTGTAGATCGTTCAAGCGCGCTGCTAACGTGGGATGGAATAGAGTTGGTAGAGTTGCATCGCAGAGTACTCGCTATCTATGCTGCGAATGCATTTGGGAATGTCTTCTTGCTTGGACCTCGGATTAATCACTCATGCGCTCTCAATATTCACTGTTCAAATAATTCGGTTCTCGGGAAGAGACCTTCCATGCCATGCGCGGCATTATGGCAGTCGAGAAGCTTACCATCACGTACATCGGTGGTACCAATCATATCCGGGGCCAGCGCCAGACCGAGCCGGACAAATGGGGATTTCAGTGCACCTGTCCGGCATGTGAGGATACATTACAGGACAGAAAAGAGAAGAAAAGCGGGTTGAGTTATTCGCCCTTGATCAGAACCTCGCTATGAACATACGCATGGGCGGTGGTACGAACAGGTCGTACGGAAAGTGGCCGGAAATGGCAGCCGTACAAAAATCCGAGGCTTGCTGAATAGAGAATTGAGCATTTTGTAAGTGGCTATCCTGGTTGAACGGTCACCGCACTTACATATATTTAGCTATCATGATGCTGCCACGTACTGTTTGAAGTTGAGGAGAGCAAGAAATGAAACAGAAAATACGGCGGAACTTCATGACCGACTACAACATTAGAAACGTCACTAGAGAACCTCTACTCGACTAGTATATTCGAGCTCTCGTGTTAAATAGCTTATCAGTCTGTTCAGCTTATAGCTTTCAGAGGTCTGGCAAATACTGAGACTTCGACCGTGCTATGGACCACATCGTGGCGCGATGCAGACCGAAGCCGGAGCATCCAAAATCCATGCGACGTGGATGGAGAACACACTCCATCCGCGCCAAAGTTCTCCGAATAAAACTCTAGCTACAAACTGGGTATTACTTAGGCATATTGCCTCGAACTTGACTGAATGCGTAGTTAAGGGCTTCATTGCGTAATTAAACCTGATTGAACATCTTGAGTAATTGTCACGGCTCGGATACTGACGAAATGATATTCCTATCTAAGTTATTGTAGCCATCGACGAAAATATAGAGTCTAGAGAAAGAAGAAAAAAGGAAACTTTTTTGAGAGGATGGAGGGGTTTCTATGACCACTGTACGGCAGGGTTCTACTCATGTCGGTGCCGTTTGTCATTATTAGTCTTATACGTAGCGTCGAGCGTATGGGCGACGTCAAGCCGTATACACGACGTCAAGATGTCAAGTCGTCACAACAGTCGATTGGAATGTTTGATTGAAACCTTGGTTGATGCTCGATTAAACTGTTTATCGAACTTACACCATAATAAATCGACAGAAGATGATTAACTAGACGTATGGCACTAGAATGATCAATATGATTAGATGCTAGATGGATGGTACCAAAAGAATATGTGATGTTGTATGGCCAGAGAAGAGTAGAATTCCATATGGCTTTGCAGGTCGCCTATATTTGATGTTATGTGGGATTATTGTGTAACAGGGACCACTCGAATAATGTCATACCTAGGTGTCGAGGTGATGGAATCTTTCTGGTATTTTCTCTGGATCTTAGTGATGCTCTTGTTGTCCTCTTTTCAGACAGGCTCTGATCTCTACTCTGACGGCACTAGATTGATGCGTGATCGTAGGCTTGAAAAATAAGTATTCCGGATGCGTCTATGTCGGGGGGACAGGGATAGGACTGTGTCCAAAGTTGTTTCCCTAGGGCTTTGTATTACAGCAAAAAATAGGGATTGACCGCGGGGCAGCGAAAAATTTGCAAGACTCTCCGTGCCTATGAACACGTGGGTTTGCATTTCATGATTTGTTTCTAGGGTTTTGTGGCCGTAAGTTGTAAGTCTTGTCTTAGCGGCAGTAGCTAGTACCTGCTTGATGTATATTCATGGAAATACGTGCATTCCTCACTACCGGAATAAGGTTTATTCTTTATCCTATGTCATTGTACGTCCATGACAATAGACCCAAGTTATGAGTCCATCCCATGCAGGGCACTAGACCAATGTCAAATATACACATGCTCGATAGAAATGATTGTCCACAAGCTTCCATGACTCAGTTACTGTATCGGGCCCTTCCGTCATCCCAACCAACTGCTATGTATGACACAATTCAAGCGGCCCATTACTACCCTCCGTATGCGCCACAATCCCACAAAACACGTTATCCGGCCAAGTGTAAACCACCCTCGCTGGCTCTGTCAACTCCTTCGGCTTCTTATCAAATGGATACAACTTCCCATTCTTCTTCAGCGGAAACTCCAACAGATAATGATCATCCTTCGCATCTCCGTCCTTGCTATGCTTCGGGGGCTTGTTGCACTGACCGACTGGGAACTTAATGGGCGGTTTATTTTTGGCGTCTCTCACGTTACCGTCGCCGTCGTAGCCGTTGGAAAACCAGTGCGGGTAGCTGGATTTGGTCTTGTGGTCGGAGAGAGGCGCCTGGTGGGAGGCAGAAACGGCATAGTTTTGGCTGATGCGGATTTGGCCTTGGGTGTTGGCGCAGGTCCAGGTCTGTGTGTGTGGAGTGGTTAGTTGTGGGTTGTGTGTGATGAGGTTGTAGGGGGACTCACCGTGTCCTGGGTTGCTGCTAGAGAGGAGAGGCAGATGAAGAGGATGGTTTTGGTAGAGACCATATTGGGAGGTATTTTGAGAAGAGATTGTTTTTATTTTGTTTGTGTTAACTTGGCTTGTTGCTGACCATTGCTGCTGGACAGCGCCAAAATTTATATCTTCATCTCAAACCAAGGCTGCGAGCCCATCATGGGATATATCCAAACACGAGGCTGAAAACCCTGATGATCATCTTGATGAATGGATTTTGTAGAAAGGAATGTAATCGCTGCCTGTTAATTCAAGTCTCCAATCCTAAATGCTGGTAACAGTGGAGGGAGAATGTATTCCTTCTAATCATCTTTCAGGGTCCTTCTCATTGTCAGCCAATGGTGCATGTGTATTTCTTTTTCTTTTCACAGCCTGTACAGTAGGCGGTGTTTGGGGACCAGGGTCGCTAAAAGTAAATAGGGACGGGCCGCGGGGGCGGGAAACCATCTGCAAGGCTATGAACATACCCAAATAAGGCTGTCACTTATTTCTGGACCATGCCTTGGACTTCTGAACACTTCATTCTACAATCCAATCAAGACAACATTTCCCTCTACAGTGTGCAAACAATATCCCATAATAGCTACCGCCATGTCCGCCCTCCACCTAAAATTCGACGACGATGACCCCTGGATCATCGAGCAGAAAATGTTCAACCTCCTAAATGATTACCTCCAACATCCCAGCACAAAATCGGCGCTTGAAACCACTCAGGCTCTAGATAATCTGTTCCCTATACACCGAAGCAACGAAGACCAGCCTCATGGAGAACCCAGGGAACCACCCCAAAGCTTCCTCTTACATATGTGGCCTCTTTTTCTCAATATCGCTTCTCAGATCCCACATGATCATTCAGCACAGGAGAAACTTGCAGAGCTTGTGGGAACACTGAAAAACCTGGTGTCAAAGTCTCCGATTGTGCATATTGATTGTTCTGATTATAAACTCTGGAGAGACTTGCCACTCCTATTTCCGACGATAGAGGAGGAGCTTGAGCGTAGGTTCCTTCTTCCACCCAAATCAGACAGACAACGTCTAACGAGATTACTAGAAATGGCAAACTGCGATGCAGAATCCAAGCAAACCTACCGAAATGCCAGTTCCTTTCTTGCCCGTCTAACCCGCGACCGCACCGCCGACTGGTTCGCTCTCGCGATCGGCGAAGTCGGCGGGTGCTTGGAAGGCCATGTAGTCTTCCGGCATGCGCATGCGCATCGTGGCACGCCTATCTTGGACTTCATCCCAGAGCGGGACGAGGATATTGAGGGTGCATTTGATTGGATTTCTATATGTGGACATGTCCTGTTTAGTCTGGATATGGAGGTGAAACAGAGTGGAGGGGGCCCGCTGTGGGAGGGGAAACTTGGACTTTGTCCAGAGCGGTGGCAGTTGTGGAAGGAAAGGCTCGGGGAGCTTGCTGAGTTTGGTGGTGTTTCTGAAAGGGCGAGAAAGCTTGCGAGGGAGACGAGGGATAGGATGGAGGTTGTGGAGAGTGATGCTAAGGGTCAGTGAGCATAGGCTCACTACAACAGACACAATTTACTGTATGCTGGCACCAGGTCATTTGTACTTTATTGCCAAGCACCACAGCAAATAACTGAATAGACATCTATCCCGAAAAGGGAAATGACATCTCTCAAACACGTTCATCACTATCACTCCTTCAGATATCTATCCTCTGTGTTCTTTATTTCAAATCTATAGTCAAGAAACGGTTCTTTCTACAGTGCTCTGCACCAATTACTGATGATTCCGCTGGAGTCAGGATTGGGGATGAGGTTTTAGTTATCATTATTTCCTTCCAATTCTTTGTAAACTCGTAAAACTAACCGCTGCTGTCACAAACATGTCGCGACTTATTTGGCCATATCGACCAGAAAATCCTCACATAGGTCAATCCAACTTATGATCTCCTTCTGTTTCTTCATATGTCGGTTATACGCAACATCAAACTGTAGACAACCCTGGTGCATACCCACTGAAATTTCAATGAGCCCAAAACGCTTTGCCGATTTGATGATATCCGAGTCAGTTTCGTCTAATTCACCTGTGTATTGAAGAAGTGCAATATCTACTTCCAACTGCTGATAAAGACCAGAATAGTTCAGGGCAATCTCAGGGACTTCGGTGGTGCCAAATTTCTCGCATCCTTCGGGATTCGTGAACCGAAAGGTAAAATAGCCCCAGCCATTGGAGCAAATCTTGGCATGGGCTTCGTGGGCAACCAAGAACAAGAATTGTTGCCCTGACTGTGCCTAAATCAGATCAGTCCGCAAAAGGGGACTATGGAAAATGTCGAGAGACTTCTGACTCTGGACTATCACATTTACTGCACCCGCAACATCGTCTACGGAGTGAGGACGGAATATAAATGAACCGTTAATGTCATCGTGGACTTGCTGCACCAAGTTCCCGTTTTCTTCTTGCCGAAAGCGAGCGCGTAGCATAGCCATTGCAGATATTGTCTTATACTGCTGGATAGTTCTGGCGGTAGAAGATAGACCGGCAGCTTTCGCCTTGGCTGCGACTTGCATGGCGCTGATCGAGTCTCCACCGAGATGGAAAAAGTTGTCGTCAATTCCAATGGAGTCGGGATCGAGGTTGAGCACTTGAGCACAGATAAAGTGCAGTTTGATCTCCACAGGCGATTTCGGCTCGCGCTTTGATACATGAATTGCATCCGCGGATCTGCTGTAGAATTCTATCTCCGCGAGTGTCAAGTCAGAGGCTACTTGCCAGAGCTCTTTTCGATTGATCTTCCCCGCACCAGTCAAAGGGATCTTGACAAAGGGGAGGAGGGGTGTTGGGACCATGTAAACGGGCAAATATTCACGAAGTTGTGACAGCGTTCGAGACGCGCTCTGCTTGAAGTTAGCTGTTGGAGAAGTAATATATTCATTTACTCCTTCATTTCCTCTCTTGCCTGTGAAGACATAACAAATCAACATCGACCGCGCCTGTGTGATTAAAGGAAAAATAACTTCAGCGATAACCTCTTGGGATCCAAGGAAGCCACGATGTATATGATATTCGACCTCACTCAGTTCAACACGTTGGCCACAGAGCTTGACCTGCGTATCTCTGCGGCCAATGAACTGGATGATGCTGTCATCACCGTACTGAACTAAATCTCTCGTGCGATAGAGACGGTCAGTCTTTTCATCAGGTCTTCAGTTCTCAAGCCATGGCGGAACGTCAATGAAGCTGGCATGCGTCTGATTTTCATTGTTGAGATGTCCCCGCGCCACAGCTGGCCCCTCAACCACCAATTCACCCACAGCCCCAGTTGACGCAAGCCTGCTAGGGCCATTAATCACAGTAATCCAGGCCAGCCCGCTAAACATGCCCCCAACGTCTCCCAGCCTCCAACGCTGTGGGTCAACCGCGCTTGCAGTGCAGAAGCAAGTCTCTGCCGGGCCATAGCTGTTGATGAACTTGATTCTATGAGCCCAGGTATCCACGTGCGCTTGGGTGAGCGAATCCCCTTCGATGCAGAATGACTTGGGATTGAGGGCATTGTCTGGGCGGAAGAGACATGGCGAGATGGGCGTTAGGCAGGTCCAGTTAATCCGGTATTGTCGCATACAGCCGGCTAGGTCGTTAAGTTGTTGATCTTCTAAGGAATGCAGACGCAGCCTCCGAAGACTAGCGTTATTACAGTCTCATATTCCCAGGTCGAATGCATAGGAGGCAAAATGGAGAATGCGGCAGTGGAACACCGTAAACCGCTGCCACGCATAGCCGAGAAAGAAAGCCGGAAATTTTTTTCGGTATGGACCTGTTATCTCAGAATGCAATATGAGTATTGGCTCAAAGGACCTGACTGGGCTTCAATAGCCAGCGGAGTAGCCAGAATAACTCGATGCGATCACGTTGGAGATACGATTATGCGAACAAGACCAGAAAGCACCACGTAGATATGTGGTACCAGCTAGCAAACAAAAGATGCTCAAAAAAGTCAAATATATTCTAACTCCAGAATAAAGTTCTATGATATGCACAATGAAGTTCAGCTTGGACGGAACAATGACCCCTACTTCATACTGTATGGACTCAATAGAAGCCTATAGTGCAACAATGAGTATCTAAAGGTCTATCATATAGTATACCAGAAAGGAAAGAAAGACCGCTCACCATAATCGCCACTTGAATCTATCCAAGAGACGGTAAGCATGAACCCAGCCAACTGCGACATCTTCCCAACCTGCTCACACGACCACTTCCCGCTGATGAGCCGGTTAACCTGCGTTCCCTGGCTGATCAAGGTCCGCCAACCATCAATCTCAATCTCCAAGTCGCGCAGAGCAACATGTCAACATCAAACCATGTTGATCAGCAGGTCGAAGCGGGATTGGACGTGCCAGTTGCCTAGGTCGAAGGCTTAGGAACCCAGGGCTTTGTTGGTGGTATGCATGCCGTTCAGCATGAAGTCACTGAATGGGCTAGTCTTTGTATCGTAGGCGACAAGAATCCGGGTTTCATTGGGGCAAGCATCGGCGCTGAAGATGAATGAGCAACTTCTTTTGCAGGCCTGACAGGAAGAATATAGAAGATCGGCGGTCTCCCTCACCTCGGCGTTGGAGATGGTGTTTCTCACCTAGAGGAAAGCAATTTCGCAGTCTGGTAGATTGGTAGGACTGGACTTGAATCATAATACGCAGTCTTCATAGGTGCCCAGCAAGCCTGAAACGTGGATGAATGGGGACGGACGGAACTTCTTCGATAGCCCATGCAAGCTTGTTGAAAGAGTTTTTGCTGTTACGTCGGAGGCGTAGTGAAAGACCGTATTTTCCTGGGCTTCGAGTGCTGAGGGAATGGCTCCAGTCTTCTGATCATTCCTGTCAAGATATCAGTCATGTTCGACTTGGTTTGTATACAAAGGAGGTACATATTCGCAGCCAAGTTCAATCATTATCGCCGTTCTGGGTAGACTCTTGACTATATTCCCAGAATATCTGCAAAATCTCTATCTCACAGCGTCGCAGATAATATGGGGAGTAGTGGCATAGCTTCTCGTAAATGTGTAAGCCATTGTCATCCCACATGACAAGGGAGGGTAGCTCTTTCGGCTCCTGTTGGAGGCCTTCAACAATGACGCCCTTGACAACGAGCAGCTGTTTGAATTGTCTGATTCCAATAATTCCGGTATGGAGAGGAAAATTTACGCATAGAAGGGGCATCTTGCTGAGAATTGAATGAGAGTGCAGAGGCAAATAACAATCACTTGTATTTAAAGAGTAATGTTGTACATCCTGATTCTACTTAAATATTAGTATGTGATGAAGTCTGCATACACAGAATATGCGTATTGCTGTATGACTGGAGCTATTCGGTGCTGGCTCAGACACTCACTTCCCTACATTCAATGGCCACTTATGTCCTCTTCCAGTGAGATCGATATCTTGTAGATCATATGTAGGTTCATAGGACTGCTTGGCACTATTGAGCAGTTTGACCATGGCTGGCTGAGGGCCAACCAAAATGATCCCAGACGGTGTAGGGGTTGGAGCTACCACCCCATCATGGCTGCCCTTTCTCTAGACTGTCGAAGCAGAATGATGCTCACTGGCTTCTGCATTTTGACAATAGATCTCAGCCGCAGCTCCGCAGAATCTCGCTTACGAGTATAATTATGCGGTGGCATCGCCGGGATCTTGCGGTGATGGTTATTATTGATCGTGTCCTGTGTGTAGGTCTCGCCACAGTCCGCCCGCGAGAGCCCATGGGTAGAGTAGGAAAGCCAGGACGATTGTATTTCCAATTAGATAATAACACGCAACATCACGGAAAGCTTCAAGTTCCCCATCTCCCCCCACATCAACCGAGCTAAACATAAGCCGCAGCCTGGGTAGTATCGGGATCGTTATTTGCCGCATACGCATACGGTCTGCTGTCATCTGAAGATCTCCTGGTGGCCTTTCCCAGAACCTGAATCTCCTCCCCCTCAAACGTCGACTCGATGAGACGACCAGCCGCATCATGCATCGTATCCCATTCGGCGACCTCAGCGTCAGGAACTTTCGTAAGCCGGTTGCTCTGAACTCCGCCATCTAGGTTGATAAGTTCCTGTCGCAGCTTGTACCCCCTCCACTTGGGAATAAGGAAAGCCCAAAACCAGTAATAGATGGCGCATGCAAGGAGACTATGTACTATTGTGTGAGAATGAATAGAACAATAGCAGGTAGGACGTGAAGGCCCAGGTCAAGTTTAGTTGACTTACATTCCAATCCCCGCCACGGCGTACGTTGCATACCAAAAGCTGACATCACCAGCATACTGGCCACCTTCGGGCGGATACCAGGGCATGACAAGGAGGTAGAGCTGGATGAGAATATTAAAGAGAATCACAACATGCCAGGCCTTGAATTCGGGTTCCGGGAGATTGGCCCTCTTCCGGCGCCAGCGAACAACGTAGATACCAAGAGCCATTGCGAGGTTGAAGGCAGCATTAGGGATGATGCTTAAATCGTTGACTATTTCAATATCAGCATTGCAAGAACGCCCGACTGGCTCCTGACGGGGAAATAAAAGAAAACACACTGAAAGTGAAAGCGTCTCCGGCAGGAACGGCTAGGATCATTAGTGTGGTCGAAAACCAAATGATTGCATATGGGCCCAGGGTCGTGCCGAATGGCTTAGTTGAGACCCAGAATTTTGTCCAAGGTAGAACTCCCTGTCGGCCGCATTCTCTGATCCGCCGCGATAGGCCAATTATCACGGCAATCATGTTACCGAAGGAAGCCAAGGCAATGAGGAAATTGAGGCCGCGAACTGCACCGCTATTGCCAAAGATCTTCTCGAAGAAAAGACTTGCTGTTGTTAGGTTAGAGTTCTCTATCTCGTTCTTGGGAACTATAAAACCATCTGTAATCAGTGTGGTGATCCTAGCATAGGCCGGACTACCAGTAACTAACCAGCAGCAAAGAAAGCGATGTTCGCGAACATGTATAACATATAAACCGTTGTAAGAGCAGCTGTGGCGTAGATTTTGAGTGACCTGACGGGATTCTATAGTAGAAAATGTCAGTCTCAGCCCCGTACCACTTGAATATCGAGTCGCCATACCTTGACTTCGTTGGCAACATTGAAGGCGTTATTATAACCTCCATAGGAGAAGATGATACGGTACAAAGCAATAGTAAAGCCGTATGCAGAAGCTGTAGAGCTACCTGACCACACATCTTGGAAATTGGCCTTGGGGTTCTCGACCTTAGTATGCCCTCCCAAAACAACGAAACCAGTGACTATAACGAAGAGCAGGGTGCAAATCTTCACAATTCCAACAGCGTTCGAGAACCAGTATGCGTATTTTGTGTTGAACACCAGCGCTATACCTTGTCAGTGGTCCCAATTTCAAACGAATTGATTCAGTGAAAGCAACTCACTCAAGATAGCAAGACTGTAGCAGGCTAGAGCGGTGCCTTTAATTTGCCAGTCGGTGCCCTCGTGCCCGGAGATGGCGATAAGATACTGGGCCATGACTTATAGCTTGTTAATTAATGTCCTATGCCAAATCGAATGTAACAATAAACTCACCCGTAGCATTGGCACTTCCAAATGAAAGAATAACACTCTGGACCGCAAACGTGGTAGGAAAGAGCCATTTTGGATTAGGGTAAGCTTGTTCGAGGAAAACAACTTCTGAACCGGATCGACTAGGGAAGTATGCCGTGAATTCAAGGTACACAGCCCCAGACGTGAGACATAGCTGGAACGAAGCAAACATGATCAGTCAATTCTGCTTTCCAATCATGGGAGAGACACACCAAGTAACCAAGGGTCCAATAAATGAGACTGACGCCGATCGAACCTGTACCAGACAGGATAGATGATGCTTTGCCGTATTAGCTGGCATGTTTGGATATGCGTAGTTGTGTCGCACTCACGCGTGGAGTAGATACCAGCGCCGATCATCATTGTGATGTTCAGCAAGGTAATTGTAACAGGGCCGACAGAGTACCCCAGCGGCGACTTGTTTTCAATTGGAGCGCCAGAGGCGTCTTGGTATGTGGGCGGCGCATCATTGCTTCCTTCCTCGCTGATATACTGACCGCCAGTGGTTGGGACCTGCTCCATCTGGCCTTCAACTACAGTGCTGGGCACGGCAGGACGTTCGCTAAAAGGTCGCCGCCACGCCATTACGGTCAAGTGTCAAGGCCTTTGAAAAGTGAGGTAGGTCCGAGATGGCTCTCCACCAAAAAAAAAAAAAAAAAAAAAAAAAAAAAAAAAAAAAAAAAAAAAACGCAAGGTGACAAGTGTCAAGGCTCCCGTTGTTTGATATGACGCTGCATGTGCTGGGGAAAGAATATAAAAAATGCGTCGCATGAGCCACCTTTATACCACTTCACCTAATATTTTTTTTGTTTATCCGTCTTATTTCCAGATTTCTTGTCTAATACAACACTCACGGCTTTAATTGGCGTGCAAGGAACACTTTATTTGTGGAGTATGATGATTTCAACATCAATGGGGCGAATGGTATAACCAAAGCAGGGGATTGAGTGGGAAGCCAACCATGTGAATCCCAACCTTGGAGTAGAATGTGTCATGTTAAGCAAATGCTCAAAGAGTGCTTGCCATCTCCTCGCCAAGAGTTTCTAGCCTGTAGCTCTTATGTATGTACTACAAGTGGGGAAAGTATCGCGCAATGTCTGAGTCCCCATGATTGGTCTTGGAGACAAAAGCTTTATTTCAGTGAATTCGGTGTCTAATCATCGTACAATAACTGTATTCAATTAAAGATAGCTGTCAGTACGACCGCACCGGTAGGGGCTTTGCCAAGCTAAGATTTGCATGGCAAAATAAATCAACTCCAAATGCTTATAGTGGTGCCATTGATTCTAAGAAAAGTAGACCTGGTACGCAATGACTAGCAAAATGGCAAAAAAAAAAAAAAAGCTTTGCTGGAATTGGTGGCAGTTGTAAATGTGTCAAGTTGGCTTGGCTACAACTATGCCATTTCAAGCAATGATGGTGTGTTATTGGGAATTGCGGGTGCTTATTTGCTATTTCTCACGCCATGTGTTGTCAAGATGAGTGTGGACAACGCCTTCAAGTGACCGCTTGATCCTGAGGCACTTCGCTCGGACGGACAACGACTAAGCGTGGAATTGAGCGAGGTGCCTCGAAGGATCTTGAATCAGCCAACCAGGGAGATAGAGTGGATCTGCAGGATTATAAGAGGTTGATATGGGCCACAACCTTCCCCGGAATCAGTGGCCTCGGGGTTCTCTTGGTTCGGTCTGTTCCGGCTTTGCTACCCCACCAGCGCCTCCCTCATTATCCGGTAGTAGTATCGGGATACATAATAACAACATTACGAGGAGGCGAGAACATATCCCTTGCACCAGTCACCGGTTTACGCAGAACCGGGGTATATCAAACATCGGCAATATTGATTTTTTTTTTTGGCCCAGGATTCAAACAAAATAAATAAAAAAACGATCACTTTTTTGATATGAACTTAGCATTTTCAACATCCATAGTTTCGTGTAGATGAGACTTTAGGTACCAAGCAGGGTCCCCCGGAGGCGTACAGGGCTTGTGTGACAAACTATCCATCTACAATTAGTGTCATTCCAGTGTCACGGTGCTACAGCAGGCTCACACGACATCTTAGTAAAGGGCTTCAGGGTAGAGACAACAATCTATTTCATGAAGCGGCAGTCCAATTGAAGTGAGAACTTTCTCCATACTGCTTGACTTTGCAACGGAATATCTGTGGTGGACATCAAAAGGGATTGCTGAATGTCTATCTAGGAAAATTCGCCACCAGCTCCGTGCCGGGTTACTAGCCTGGAAAAATATGAACAACGTATAACGTGCATTATAAGCGGGCAAGGCAGATAAGCGAGTGGGACACTTGGTTAGTTGATGCGATGCGATCACCAACATTCAACAGCATTTTTCCTCATTAACATAAGTGGGGTCATCGAAGAAAAAGAAAAAGAACAAAAGAAAGCCGAGTATTCTTAGCTATCCAAGCTACCCCAAACGACCCATATTGACGTGGAGGCGCAACTTTAAAAGGAAACACATCAAAGTAGTGATTATCAAGGGAAGGCTAAAAAGAAAGAACGGCGCTGTAAAAGATGTGGCAATCCAAAAAATTACAGGCGAACCTGCCAAGAAAATGTAGGGCTTCTGGGGAAGTTTATTCTGGAAAAACTCAACTGATATTCTAGCGTTATGGTTGAATCTGCTAGAATTATTTTATGGCGCTGCATCAAGTGCCTCATTCGCTTATCATGCATGTTATAGTATAACAGTTATACTAATTCGGAAGTTTTGGAAGAAAGTTGATGCCAATTAACCAAATAGTATGACAATGACAGATCCAATTCGGTTCGTAGGAAATACATGGGATGGGGATATCTTACTCTGCGAGAGCCTTCGATTAGGTTATAAAAGTAAATAGCGAGGCTTCTTCCCCATATCTGACGAATTATACTGAAAGATACTTGAAGAAAGTGGGATTCATTAGAGCATTCGGTTTAATGTCTATGTAATTATTTTCTGAAAGAAATCCAAAACCATAAAGATGGAGGAGGTTAGAATGAAGTCCAGGACTTCTGGAATTTTTTAATCCAAAATTGTGGGTAGAAATAGTTGGACATCGCATACAACATATGACCAAGCCGTGTCCATTTTTTCTAAGATCCTAAAGAAAAAGATCCTCTTCCTAGTGAATGGAAAACCACTCGCAACAAAATCGAAATAATGTCAAACTGTACACCTAACGAAAAACACATGTCCTCCAAATAGTTAGACTTGCTTCTTCATCACTCCTCAATACATGATTCAAGTGTATCTCTGGTAACATCCTGCTGCGTCCCACCGCCTCACCATACAATGTGATTTGGAACTCGATCTCACCGCTCTAGCATCCATATGAAGATATTAAAACTTGATAGTAATTGAACTATATCTAGGATATATACAAGGACAAGGCAAAATAAATCAATGACGGCCATGTCCATGCCCATGGCCAAGATGCACTCGGGCCTGGCCATTAGAAACAACAGGCATTTTGTCATAATCGTCATGACCAGCCAGTCCCAGCTGTTCCAATGCATCCATGAGATCCTCTGGATCCTCATAATCGTGCCAGATGACATCTGCAAACTAGTTAGCCACCGATTCCAAGAAGGAAAAGTAAAGTAATGAATAGGCAGTCAGCATACCTTCAACCATCCAGTCATTCGAGTTACGCGGATCCAGGTCACGCTTGGTCAAGTCCGCAGCGGTCATGAAGACGACGGTGCATAGCTTTACCGGAAGGGTCTTGATGTTCTTATTTTTATTATCGACTTCCAGGAGGGACGGCCTCGCCACGCAGAGCGCGTTAGCCCCCTTTTTATTCTTGCTGATGTAGAATCGATCACTATGCAGATTAACGCCACCAATGACGAATCGCATATCGAATCCGGGATTGACGCTGGGGTTGTTTCCATTTGCGGCGTTGGGGTTGAATGCCCCTCCTAGACCTCCGATGTCGTTGCCCGTTTGGCTCCAGAAGTAGAGATTCGTGCTGAATAGTCTAACGTCGTTGGCCTTTGTTTTGTAGTAGTCTTCATTTGACCACGGGTTGCCGCCGTTTTCCTGTGGACAAATCGAGTCAGTAAACGTATGCTAGAGAGGGGAAGCGGCTGCTTACCGAGTCTCGGAGTTTGGAAAGTATACTGTTTATTTGCCATTGGTAGTCTTGCTGGGCGGCTGGTGCGCAGGCAGTTTCCTGAGGATGTTAGTATACCAACGATTGGGATTTTATAAAGCAGAACACTTACAGCCCCAGCACCTCCTTGGTGGCAGGCATTAACTATGACAGTATTAGTATATATTGTTTTCTTCGCTTGAACGGAAACTCACAAGGAAACTCGTCACAAGACATGTTATCCGTCCATCCAGGCATTGTCTTCGCTCTGATTTGGTTTTTGTCCTTATTGACAGTATCCTGCACAGCCTGGGGCCACAGTGATTTTTTTTAACTCTTTGCATTGGTCTCCTGGACCTCCTGGCCTGTCACAGGCCTGATCTCTGTTATTGGCCGGGTTATTCGAGCCTTTCCAGTATGTGAGCAGCATATAGTTTGATCCCACGCCAGGGTCGTTTTGATGGCTATCGAGGTAGTTTTTCACATTTTTGCAGATACCAGTGAGAGTCTGGGTTGGGTTGTTCTGGTTGGTATTTTGGTCGTTATTTTCCATCACCAGGTCGGGGAAATAGTCGCAGTTGTAAAAGAGAGCCGGAGGGAGAGAGCAGCCCGAAACAGCTCTCTTGGACGACGATTGAGAGCCACACGAGTATGCATCGTCTGGAACTGTGTCGTTCCTTCCGGGACATGCGAGAAGCGCGCTAAAGATGGGTTCGCCGTCATTCTTGGTGTCGGGGGCACCGGCGATATCACCAGCTACAAAGGAGTCGTAGTTTTCGCCCAAGTCCGTATCGCCAGGGGTGCCGCCTCTCGGTGTGATAGTGACATTTTTCTCCCAGGGGACGCAAGAATTGTCAATGAGAGTAATGGGATTGTCTGGCGAGGCGAGGTCGAATTTGTCAGAGCCCCAGTACGACAGGTCGCCGGGGAACTTAACCTCAGCTTGAACAAAGAGACTGTAGAGATAATCGGCCCAGTAGCAGAAACCAGTCGTGCTGCTCGAATCAAAGCCAACACTGATGGTATTCTCCACACCGGCAGTGACAAAGCCGCCAGACAGCTTTCCTCCCAGAACAGAGATTCCGAATCGCACTTTGGGGGTGAGGTTGAAATTAATATGTCCCGATGCGGTGGCAGAGGCCTCGAACTCGGGAGTGATCAAGTATTCAGGTTCATCATTTTGGTCGAGATAAGGCTTGATACCAGACGGCTTGACTGTGGCATCTTGTCCAGCTGAACTCTGAGGGAAGTAGACCTCCGTTTTCTTCCAGTTGGCTGAGACACCAGCCTGAAGCTCACCCGCGAAGGTGAGAGAGGTGTCTATCGACCCGGTAATTGCCAACTCTGGTCCGAGGTTGATTAAACCCTTGATGGACATGCCGGAGAACGGAATACCTTCGATCAGGTCCGCCTCGCCAGTTGTAGACTGGAAGGTAGCTTCTCCACTGAGTTGGAAGAGAATCTCTGCACTAGGCTCGACGGAAAAGTACGAATAAGCCGCGATAAACTTGGGAGCTGGCAGGATGGCTCCTTCAAAATAGTATGCGTATTGTGCGTGGAGTCCGACTTTCATGTTAACGTCGAGGTCGAGTTTGTATGGACTGTCGCCGGAGCAGTTCTGTGTCAACTCCAGAAGTTTTGCGTCACCCTCGTATGTGAGAGGGAGATAACCCTTTTCGTCTTGAACGATGCTTGTCACTTTCTCAAGCCATGTGTCAAAGTCTCCGAACCATCTCTTGTGCTTGGCTGGACTGTCGGTGATTTTGTCCCAGTATTCCTGCAGATTGGTATAATCAATGTGAAAGTTGACATCGCCCTTGGATTCAGACGCAGCAGCTCCCAGATCATAGTCGACCTTCATTTTATAGACCTGGTCGGCAGATCGAGGAAGCAAATTGCTTCTCTTGGTTGTCGATCCTTGACGTGTCAGACTGATGACTCGTGCATAAGGGCCGGCAGCCCCAACGTTGGAAGGCATCTTGACAATCGTATTCGAAGCACCTCCAGAGAAGATCGAGTGACATGAAGTATCGTTCCTTAGCAAACTGTTGCACTTGATTTGGTACGTCTCCTCGACATTGTCAAATGTATCATTCCGCGAGCCAAACAAGTTGTGCTCTGCTGAGGAACGCTTGCTATGCAACGCACCACCATTATCATCCAGGAACGACCACTGATCAACCAGTGACTGATCATAGGCATCAGTGTCACCGTCGATCATAACAAAAGCGAACGGATCCTCGTCCTCAATATCAGATGCTTCATTGTTCGCTGCCGGCTCGGATTTACCGTACCAGCTCACGTTGTCTTCATCAGGGTACTCGAACAGATCGGCCGGATCAACCGGTACATTGTCGGCTGCACTGGGAGGATCGCAGCACATGCTCATCATTTTACCTTTAGCGCAAAAGAACTCTTGGGAGTCGATGACTCCATGGCCTGGTGTCCAGAGTTGGTCGCGGCGTGTGACAAGCAGTTTGTTATCCGGACAGGAGTCACCGCAGTTTCCCCATTCGCAGTTTTGGAGCGTTGATTTCGAGGGACAGCAGAATTTGGACGTTCCAGCACACTCTTCATTGTTCTGGTTTAAATCTGCAATTGTTAGAAATGTCTATAAAGCATCATGAAAAGAAAACTCACTTGGTCCTGCGTTGAGAGACATATTTTGGAATCCGTACCAGCCATCCTCACAGGCTTCATTGCAACCAGTCCACGAACATTGATCCAACTGGGGAAGCGTGGCACAGCATAGCGACCGAGAGTTGACAGTGCAGGGAGACGAACCAGTTCGGTCGTTGTAGTGGTCTCGAACGAGTTCAAACTTGTTGTTTCCGCACGTATCGTCTTTTCCACCAGTACAGAAGCCATCTGGAGATCCTCCAATCCAGGAGCATGTTGGCAATGCGTTGGTGGGACAGCAGATGAGGCGATATTGAGAGTCCTCATCTTCATTTTCTGTTGTGTCGCCGGTCTTGCAGAGCTTGTCATCGGGTCTGAAAGGATACCAGGAGATCCTTTGTGGACGTAATCCAGGATGCTGTATCCCGTTCTACATGACCCAGTATTCCAGTCCACGCAGTCACTGATGTAGCAATCAGCGCCTGTGTATGCATTATAAGAGTGCACCAGACTCTCCGCGTTTTCACCATCTGAGTTCGACCCTTCAAGCAAAGAAGCTCCATCAACGCTCTTACCCAAAAAAGCACTCAGAGCTTGCCAGTCATATGTATCCTAATCGTTGGACCAGATAATCACACCGCCGAGACAATGGTTATTTGCGTAGTCGACCTTCTGCTTGAAAGTCTGGTTCGTGTCGAACGAGACCCACTGGTTCTCATCCCAGGTGAGATACATGACTGCCGCTTCCTTTTCCCAAACAGGAACATTGTCCGAATCAGCAATGATCTCCTGGATCTCTTTGTATGACAGGATACCAGATGTCTGGGTGCAGGTGCCATTTGCGCCTCCTCCGCTAAAGGGACAACCGGGGGTGCTGCAACTGGAATCAGAGAGCGTGAATGATCGACCGTAGAAACCAATTCCCAGTACAACCTTGGATGGATCGACGTCGTTTCTCCACAGGAGATCCATTGCCTCGGCGATCTCAGTCAAGTTAGTGTGTGCGCCGACAACCTTGCCGATATACAGATTGTGACCATCCCAGACACCGTGGAGATCATAGGACATCATATTACACCAGTCGGCACCACTAGCAAGGTACCTGGGCACATCAAAGTATCTAAGATACCAGTAACTGGAGGGAATAGTGAAAGAAAGCTCGTAGTTGTTTCCACTCGCATCGAACTCATCTCGAATGGCTCTGAGCAACTTGGCAAAGTTCTCGGTATCGTCACTGCTTCCTCCTCGATCACTGGAACCAGGATACTCCCAGTCTAGATCTACTCCATCCAATCCATACTTCTGCAAGGTCTGGAGAAGGTCCTTCGCAAACGACTTTCTCCCCTTATCGGTGGCTGTCATGTTCGACCAGAAACCAGATGTATCGCCATCATTGAACGACCATCCACCAACAGAGAGCATCATACTCAGCTGAGGATGATGAACCTGCAGATAGGTAAACTCCTGCATAAGAGTATCCATATATCCATCACAATCATCCATGAGATAAAGCTCCCACCCGTCTCTGGCAGAGTTTGGCTGGAACAAAGCAAACGACCAGACCAAATGCGTGAGGCTCTGAGCGGGCAGCTGGTCAGGTGTCCAACCATCACACTTGCGGCTGTTACTCGACCAACTCTCATAGTATCCGATGACCTTTTTCAGCACATCATTAGATGAGCAGGACGGCTCTGTAGGTCGACCGCAGTTACTCTGGCATCCATCGCCGCAGAACTCGCTGGTTGTTCCGCAGAATCCAAATTCTGAACAGCAGACGTTCAGGGGGGCATTTGGCATCTGCAGTGACAGCCCATTTCCCACATTCGGCTTTGGCGTCACAGTTGCTGACGCAGTTTGCTTTGTTGCATTGGTCGTCGGGGTCATATCCGCAGAGCTGTATATTATTAGTATGCAAGTGACAACAAGATGGGGATAATCGAGGATGACTTACACCCTGAGCTTCACCAGGCTTGACACCGCAGCATGCACCGTTAACACAGGGACTGGTAGAATTGCAAACATAAAACTGAGCAGTGGCCGTAGTGAAAATATTGAAAAGAGCGAATAAGACAAAGAGACGCCATTCCCCCAGGTGGAAGCGTCTACTCTGGATTGAGTATGTCATGTTGAGGATGATTCATTCACAATCAAGCCATGCAGAGGAAGAAGGGAAGAGAAAAGGAAGGACTAGAAAGTATAATAATATTATTCAAATAATAGGATCAAGTTTTTTTTTTTTTCCAAATACAGCAGAAAAAGACGCATTAACTAAACTAGACCATTCCTTCTACGAATACGAAGACCCCAAGTCCGAAGGCGAAGACATTGTGTGAATGCTTCATTATGTTTAAGCCTTTTGTTCCGAGACACCAATTTCAATGCAAAGCCTTGTGGGATGAAACGACCAAGGATGATCTATTCAAACTAGATCTGTGCTTCGGCTGCTTGGCGATTTCTGCACGAATCGGAGGCTCTGGTCCTCAGGGTTCTCTGACTAGTATGTAGCCCGTGCAAGATGTTTCCATACTCTGCGATATTTTTCGATACCAAACTAATGCAGGTCCCATATTGACTATCTAATTGGGTTAGGGGACGACCATTTTTCAGAGTGTGACTAGTAGAAAGAAGGCCCGAAACGTGGGGGCTGAAAGGTTTGTCGTCGACAGCCGGATCGTTGCGATTGAGCTACGAGTTACGTTAATAATCCGTGTAGAGTAAAATGCGGCTGAAACATTCAAACCAGAGGTTTTATACGAGTTTGTTTGATAACTAAATAGATTGTTCGCTTGGGCATTGACCCACCGTCAAAGGTTTCAAGATCCTGGTTAGTCGAACTAGATTTTCGCAGCCTTGCCCGGGATACTTTCTTCGAGATTAAATTGTTCCCTACAAGGATATTCCCTGCCGGTCAGTCTCGTGTCGTGCTGATCTAAAACGGGCCAGTGGTTCAAGTGTGGTGGGTTGACTCAATTCGGCAACCAACATCCGTTCCAAGAAGGGTATTTGGCACTCAAAACCGAGGCGATATCGTTTCTGAAGGATGGTGGATGCTCCTTGAATTGTGGGATTGGATTTGATATCGGTGGGGAGATATCGGGGGAACAGACCATATGATACGAGGGGTGAAGGCCAATTTTTCTGCGTATTCTTTCTTCATTTACAATTCTTCTTCTGTACTGCTGGATTTTAATCGAATTTATCTCTTTTCGGTGAGATATATGCCGTTGTTTCCACGTTAGCTACCGTCGTGATTGCTGCCACTCAACACATTGTATTGTCTACTGTTCCTTTTGCAATGGGATACTTCCCTACATATCATGCCGCTATTGGCATGATAGTTCTGTTCTTTGCAAATATCTGCTTTGTCGCTGCCAATTATAACAACACTCACATCTACATCCAATCTTCTCTTGACGACATCTCCGCTTCAAACGACTGCATCAGTGCTCTCGCTGTAAATGTGTCTTGCAATGGCGCTCTGCAGTCTGCAGTCCTGCAGACCAGTACGTGGTCTACCAACGCGTTGAAGCAAATGTGCACCGATGATTGCAGATCGTCTCTTTCGGGTTACATCTCTACAGTTGATGAGGAATGCGGCACGGACAAGCAGTACAACATCTCAGGGACCATGCAGACAGCTTCGGACGCTGGAAAGAAGATGCAGTGGCAGTACAATGCGACTTGCTTGGCGGATTCTTCTTCCGGGGAGTACTGCAATATGCTGTTTCAGGGAGGAGGCGCCTCTGATATCAAGTGCAGCAGCTGCTACCTGAATTATCTTTCGACTGTCATCAACTCGAAATGGGGTCAGGGTCTGTTCAGCCCGTCTGTGCTCACTAATCAGGTCAATTCCTGCGGTGCAACTGGCTATTCTGTCACTTATACTGCTCCTGCAACTTCTATTACCGCACCTGCCTCGTCAACAGCCACTGCATCGGTGCAACGGTGTGATGTCAATGATAACAGCACAACAACCTACACAGTCGAAAATGGAGACACGTGCAACAGCATCTCCGTGGGGAAAAATGTTTCGACTAGTGATCTCATCAACACAAACGGTCTGGGAAGTGGATGTGCCTACCTAATGACAGGACAGCGAATCTGCCTGCCGGATTCTTGCAAGGTCGCGCGAGTCGGTCAAACGATGCAACCAGTTCTATAGTTTCCAGAATGAGCAGAAAAGTCACTACTAAGCAATTCCTATCGTGGAACCCGTCATTGAGCACCATCAATGCCAACTTGAGTTATGTTGCTGGCACTTATGTCTGTGTTACCCCTCCAGGATCTATGGAGTTGGACGGTTCCTTTCCTCTCAAGACTGCAACTACAGCTGCGTATGTTCTCTTTCTTGGTACATCAATAACAAGCTAACCAACTGCGTTAGACCTGTTCCAACTGACGCCGTGACAACCTCGAATACAAAGTGTGGGCTCTGGCACAAGGTTTCCAGCATTGACGGCTGCGACACCATCGCATCTGAGTTTGCTATTTCCAAGACGGATCTCAGATTCCTTAATCCACAACTTGACGCTGATTGCAGGCGCCTCTGGGTTAACAACAGCTATGTATGTCCACAGATGCCGATTTATCTTCAACCAATACTGATCATCCTAGTGCGTTCAACCCGTCGGAAACATCAGGACCTACTCTGGCTACCCTTCCTTTGTGTTGAACACCACCAGTTCAACTTCAAACAGCACAAGCACAAGAGTTGGCAGCACGATGAATCTCAATCAGACAAGAACAGCGAATAGAGCCACTTCATTAGTACCCAACTCAGTGATTCATATATATAACAGATCTAACTCGACAGATACACCTTCTACCAATGGCCCACCAACACAATCAGCACCGCGCAAGCAATCAACAGCACCAAGCAGTCAAGACTAGCCAACTACACTCTCTGCAACCAGGTCTATTCTCGATACAACATCACCAGCGATCTCACCGAGGAAATGTACGACAACGACGCCTGGATGTCTGAATACAACCGTGTCTGCGAGGTCGATCCCAGTAGTCCCTTGCCGACCAAACCCTTCAACTATAATATTCCCCTCGAAATCACCTCTCAATACTATACACCTTCGTTCACAGCATCTCCTGCATCGAAAGCGAGTATCAGCCACGCCACTTCAACTGTGCCTTCTGCTTCTGCTACGCCGACAGGTGAAACCATCTCTCCAAACGGTCTTTGCGGTAGTCAGGGTGGATACACATGTCTTGGCTCAAATTTTGGAAACTGTTGTAGTAAATATGGAGACTGGTAAGTTGTCTTCCTTTTGATTACAGTAATCCGATCTAACCATAACAGTGGCTCTTCCGACGAGTATTGTGGAAAAAACTGTGACCCGGAGTATGGGTCTTGTGGAACTTCGAGTACCAGAGCGTAGATGTTTGAGTTGAATTATCATTATATATATATTTACGTTCTACATAGAATTCGACCACGGTAACTACCAGCCATTTGTTCATAAAACATACATACCAAGGAACAACCAAGTGAGCCCAGTGGAGCCCTAAACGAAGCTAATCTTAATTAAACTCCGCCCCCGCCAACTGATAAACAGCTTTCCCCCCAACCTCGAGTTCTTTCTTTCCTTCTTTCTCGTATCAAAATCACGTTCACAATGGATGGAAGGCACTGGCCAGGGGGTATTCCCTCCACCATCTGCCCTCATCCAGAACCACAGGGAGGTGGTTTTAATTTCGACGTCGCCACACAAGGATTTAGACGATTCATTCGCGAAAACTGGAAACCTCGAGAAAATGAATCCGATGAAGGATTCGAATATGAAGATAACCAGCGACGGAAATTGATTGAAGCTTGGGCTTGTGCGGATCAGGCTTTTCGTGAAGTGTGAAGTGGGTACATAGATAGCTATATACATCA